CTAGTTTCTCTAACATATAGAAGAGAAATTCCCAATCGACGTAGTCATAGGCTTTTTCATAGTCTATCTTGAGTACCAAACCTTTTTTCCGTTTGCTCTTATACTCATGAATGACTTCGTTTGCTACCACAACACTATCCAGGAGACCCCTCCCTTCTAGGAAAGCGGATCGAGAGTCACTAATTATCTTATTTAGCACGCCTTTCAGTCGCCCTGCTAACACCTTTGCTAGTATCTTATACAGGCTGCCTATCAGAGATATTGGTCTATAATCATCCAAGTCTACTGGGATTTCTACTTTTTGGATTAGTGCAATGAACGAGGCATTACATCCTTTTGGAATATTACCCTCCCTCTGAAATTCTTCAACAGCTTTTAAAATGTCCGCCTTCAGTGTTGACCAATTATGTTTTATAAAGCAGAAATTAAAGCCATCAGGTCCAGGACTTTTACTGCCTTCACAACTCCAAACTGCCTCCCTTATCTCTTCCTCTGATATTTCTCTAACCAGAGCCTCATTTTGTACCTCTGTTATTCCTTCAAACGAGATCCCTTCTAATTTGATTCCCAAACTTATTTCTCGGTTGAATCTTCTTTTAAAATGTTCCATAACCTCATCTTTTACTCTTATCGGGTCCTGACACCAAACCCCTCTATTCATCATCCCTGGTAGTTCCACCTTGCTTCTTTTCCAACTAATCAAAGAGTGGAAAATTTTTGAGTTTATATCCCCTTCCTTTATCCACTTGTCTCTTATCTTCTGTTTCTCCATAGATGCACTCTTTAACATTATTTTTCTCAATTCTATTTGGTATAACCATCTTTCCTTCTTACCTTCTTCATCCAACTGATCTATTTCATCTTTATGGTCCAACTCACTAATCTTGTTTATCAAGCTTTGTTTTGCCAAATTCAAGTCCCCGAATGATTCTCTATTCCATCTTTTCACATGATTTTTAAGCATTTGAATCTTCTTGGCCCAGCTTTTAATTCCCCAACCTATGAATTCCATTTCTTCCCAAGCCCCTTTTACCTCCTCCCTAAACCTCTTTTCTTCTTGCCATACATCCAAAGATCTAAAGGGTTTGGGTCCCCAATCTATATTATTTTCTTTTATTACTAGTGCACAGTGATCTGAGATGCTTCTATCCAGTACATACTGTTTGCTCCCTTTCCATTCATGGATCCACTCCATAGATACCAGGGTTCTATCCAACCTACTCATTGAAGAACCATCAGTTCTATACCATGTAAATTTTCTTCCAATAGACGGTAGTTCCCGAGCCTCTAGGTTCTGAATAAAATCATTAAATCTTCGCATTTCTTCTGTTACTCTGCCTCTTATACTACTTCCTTTTCTCTCTTCAGGTAATTTGACGGTGTTAAAATCTCCTATTACACAAAACACCTTACACGACAGATTTTGGACGCTCCTATGTATGTCTTCCCACAACTTGTATTTTTCCTTCACTACGCAAGAGGAGTAAACATTTACCACTGTCAGTTTTATATTCTTTTTCTTATAGATACCCGCTACTGCTATTAATCCTTCTCCTATAATCATGTTTACGCACTCGAACTTATTTGTATCCGATGTGCTTAGAATCCCTCCTGACCCATTTTCTGCCTGTTTGAAAGCCCATTGGATATTATTATGGTTCCATATTTTATAGCATACACTCTCATCCTGTCTAGTTAATTTCGTCTCTTGTATACACACCATTTCTACCCCTTCCTTATTAATTACTTCCCTAATATATTTGATTTTCCCGGGGCTCCTAATACCTCTAACATTTAAGCTTAATATCCTCATGTGTCACAATCTCTCCCCTCTTCATCTATCTCCTTCAGTTTCATTACCATCAAGTTGTTATCTCCTTCGTACGAGAACCCCAACTCTCTCCCTATCTCCCATAATCTAACCGCCTCCTGATAGTCTTTATTTAACCAGAACAATCTATTGCAGTTTACTATATTACTATCGTTTATGGAGTTACCAGAAAAGAAATCTAACCTCTTCTCCTTGCGTAGAATTTTGGCCGAAGCACCCGAACTGGATCGGCTGTCATTGCTAGATTTCCCTCCTCCATTAGTCATCAAGGCTTCCTTTTGTAACTCGATGCCTTTTCGAGCCACTGCTTGATTTAATTCCACCGGTTCGCAATCTGCAGGCTTACAAGCGGTTCCTTCTACATCAGTTGATAGTCGTTTTGTGCCCAGTGTCTTTCTTTCGATGCCCTGGTTTCCCATCGTCTCCTCAGCGTCCTTGACGGTTAGATTACTGACCGTCTCTAAGTCGAAACGTCTTGCTTCGAATTTTGAGCAATGAGACTGAGAGCCAGCCTTGATTTGAGTCCCCATCGCCTTTGCCTTTTGCTTCTATTCGCCATCGTGAATTGACTCCCTTCCCTCTGCGACAAATCTAGCATATGCTTGATTCAACCCTTGCTCCTCCGGCACACAATTGATGATGGATATAGATGAAACACCAATCGGGGGTACCCAGCCTCCCTTGCCTGACGAAAGGATCTCCCGTTTTTGGTCCTTGGCGAGGTTTCTCAAAGTCTCTGGCCTTTTTTTGAACTGTTCGCAGTTAGCCAAGTCTAAGTTGCTATTATGTTCCATCAGCGAGGGCTCCTTGTTTTGTAGATATTGGGCCAACATCTGCCCCACTTACGTCTGCTCCCAGATCTTTGTCCTCAGCGTATTTGCTTTCGCTGACTCTATCTGACACACCTACCTCTGAGCGTTTATCCACACTTGATTTCTTACCGTTGGGTTTTATCGGCTCGCTTGGATCTGAGCTACCTCCACCGGATTTGTGACCCTCCAAGGCCGGAGAAGTTCGCCTACCGATCCCGTCTTCTTTCGCAGAATAATCCGAATTTGATGATACGTACTCCATCGCCTCCTCTGACTCTTCCTCCTCTTCATCATCAATACCTTCGCACACAGCACACTTAAGACCCTCCTCCATCCATTCTTCCTCTAACGATACCTTGAACACTCTTCCATTAATTTTAACACTCTGAGCCATGGTAGCTTGGGATGAAATTGGAAGTCTGATTTTTAGCCTTGCATAATCCAAGCGTGTCCACTTTAAGGTTTTCTCATCCACCTCTAACAATGTTCCCAGCACAGACACAACCTCCTCGAAGGTTTTTTTGGACCATAGAGCTATCGGGATACCCCTGCATCTAGCCCACACCTGTTTGTGCCCACTCACCCAATTTTTGTCCCATCTTATTACATAAGTGAAGAGCTTAGAAAAACACTCAGAGTTTTCTTCCAAGATACCTGTTAATGTCTCTACCGAGTCTCCACTGAAGAGAAAAAAATTGTCTCCCATTCCCTTGACGTTGACATTGAAAAATCCTTTTAGATACAGGTTATTTTCGATTTCTGACTTTCCTATGTCTCTTGTCGCTTCCACTATGAAGCTGTCTTCCATCCATTTCTGGACATTCTCTTCCACCTTCAGAGTTCTTCCCCTCCAAGTTTCAACGGTCTTTGTAATTTCCTCTTTCCCTTTCACCACGTTTGCAAAAGACTGTTGACCACCTTTCCTCCTCCATTCCTGCTTAACTGTTGGTTCTTTATTCGCCCGAAACAATTAATGTTCATGTCTCCTGTATTTTGGTATGTTGACATGCATCTTTGTAGAACCAATCCAAATACCATCTAGATTTCTTTCCATTTGCTTGATATTATCCACATTTGCGAATTTCACAAAACCAAAACGTTGACCAGCTCTGTTTCTTTTATGGGAAATGAATATGTTTCATAGGTCCACACTTCGATGCATTTGCATGTATAGTGCATCTAAATTACATTTCAACCTTTCATTAAAAAAATAATAATTAAAAGTTACATCATTGGCCACAACACAATGTATATGTTTTTGTTAGGCCTTGCAAAATGTAGACGTTCTACATTTTTTTTAATAGACCTACACTTGATCAATATGTAATGCCTAATTAATAATTAATTTTAAAGGAGGAACCAAAATAAAATACTCAACATGTTTGAAATAAAATCTAGAAATATAAAAATGAATTAAGCTAAGAAAAATGGTTTATGAAAAAACAAAATGTCAAAAGAATTAATTTGAACTATAAATCAAAATAAATAAATTTTAAGATATGAAGAAATTAACTAAGGGTTATTGATAATACTCTATCTAAGATAACCTTGAAGTTAATTGAGCGCACTCATACATTTTGACTAAAATGTTGTGTATACAACTTTAGTATGATTCCAAAAAACAGTATAAACCACTTTAGTAAATTTTTGCTCTATTTTTTTTTTTCTCACAATAACTTCTTACTCGATCAAGTGACCATGTCAATACAATAATATTCTATAGCTTGTCTAATCCATGATGAATTTTGATTGATTGAATTCCAAGATTAATTTAATTGCCCTTTCAATCTTACTCATTCGTTGAAGTATTATTGTTAAAACAAATATTAAATTATGGAAGAGATTAAAAAGTATGTTGAATTAGTTCTAGATTCAGTCAATTAGAATGAAAGTGGGTAATTTGTCAAGTAATTTGTAGTGATTTAATCACTTAATAGAATAAGAATTAATTGCAATATTAGGAATATTTTTCAAATATTTTGTCAAAAGATCAAATATTGCGGCATAAATGACAGGGATTTTTCTCATTTTGTTTATTAAGTTTAATTTTTATTGTAGATATTCATTTCAAAACTCTCTTCTTCTCAATTGACATGATAGGAAAGAAAGAAAACAAGTATAGTAATCCTTATTTCTTAGAACTTCACACATTCATTTAAAATATATATGATTTTATGCGGATAAGATATATCTTTTTTATGGGGGTAAATTTTTTTTATATACTTCAAATAATAAAAGAAAAAGCTTGTAGGGACAATTGCTCCCATTATATCTACTGTACATCCGTCACTAAGTTACGGTGAAATTGGAACAAAAACTAACTTTAAAAGGGTTACTAGATGTTATGTGGAAGGAGTATGGATCGTGCAATGGTGATGATATATATAGCATACATAATGGTGGTTGCACGTTATGCTGATGGTGATGACCATGATGGAGATACGATTGTGGTGGTAACATTGTTGCTGTGGAGATACCATAGTGGTCGTGGCAACATGATGGTAGTAGTATGTTGATTTTATTTTACACTTACAAAAATATTTATTTTAATCTCTATGTAGTTAACACTACATTACAACTAGTTTTACTCAAATCAACCACTAAATTACTATGTAACATCGTATTGTCAAACAAACAATACTCTTTTAAATGTCATAAAGAGTTCATGTTGATCAATACAGTAATTATGTTAAACTAAAGTTAATGACAACGCTAAAGATATTTAAATTTTAATGAAAAATAGATCTTTGCATCATTCTAACATCAATTGAACCAATCTAATAACGTTAACTTTTGAGCTTATGAAATATATTTTATCTACTACATGTAGTTCTCTTGTATTGTATCTTTCTCGCACATTACAAACTCGTAATAATTACAAGATCAATTTATATCGAGTAGTTCTGAATAAAACTGTATTCAAATCTTTCAAAACTTATTATAGAAGTTAATTTTTATTAATATAAAGAATTATTTACTCAAATTTCTCACAAAACTAGTCTATAAAATACAATTTAGAAAGTGAGTAATATTTTATCACATATATAATTTCACCTTAAATGATATTTAAAATACAAGTAACTTTAAATTTTAGAATATATGTTGCATAATTAAATAGTGATACTGATCAAAATTTAACGCTATACCATCATTGCATCTCTGCTTCCTACCACCACCACCACCACCTTAGTAACAATTTATTGCCAAGTGACATGCTATTCCAAAATTATAACAGTTAGGGTCTCCACCTGTATACTTCTACTCTCCGCGTGATTCCTCCACTACTTCTTTTCTTAATATTGTAGCATCCTCGTTCTCCTTCTTTCTTACCGTTTCCATCATGAAAGCCTCTAAGGCGAGACGGTGGAGGTGACGACCATGGTCCAAACATCATTGTCGTAATCAAGAGTGGAGAAGTACTTGCCATTGAGTGGAAGTGAAGTATGATGATCTGGAAGTGTTGCGTGAGAAAAAATGAGTGAAGATGTGGTGGCAAATGTACGACCATTTTAGTGGTATCTAACTTAGAGAATGATGATATTAAGGTGGTCGTAGTATTTGTTGACCCTTGAAGAGATAAGAGGAACGAGAGTATTGAAATTTAAGTCTGATTTAAAATTATAAATTATTATAATAAAGATTATCAACCACGGCTAAAATGGATTTATAACAATTGAGTTATCATTATATGTTAAGAGATATCACCACAGGTGTCTATTTTAGAATTAATTTATCCATTACGTTATTTATGTTAAATATAATAATGAGTTTAAATGTTATTTAATAAAATATAAAGATTTATTGATTATTATGTGAAGTCAGAATAAAATAAAAATAAAATAAAATAAAAACTTACATAATCAACTTGATGGACGTGAGTTAATGAAAGATGATTGAGGTTGTATCTCTGGCCATAAGGTTTTTTCACCATAAACCATCAAGAAAACGTAAAAAAAAAAAAAGACAAAAAAATAAATTAGGAAAAGGAGGTTGGAGTTAAAGAACAAACTCTCATGAATCAAGATTAGTATTCTTTCTATGATTCATGAATGTTATATTGTGAAAATCAATAATCTAAAGATCCTCGTAGTGTAATTTTCTAGAATGAATTAAGAAAGTAGAAAAACTATAAATTAACTTACATGTGGTATCGGAGCCCGATTATTAGATTTATGATTTTAGATAAGCCCTAATTATGAATTTAGGGATTTCTATCAGATTAGTATGAACCATAATTTATTCCCAAATTTATATTTCCCAAAATTAAATAAAGGAACAAACCTAATTTATGTTTTAAGGCTGCAATCAATTTCAGATTGAAACCAATTTTATAGCCCTTATGTGTGAATGACCCTGTAATTGATTTTAATTGAAAAGGCAAATGACGTGATTGGGTTAAGGTGAATCATGTATGAAATTGGTTATAATTATGATGAGATGTTATAATTATGATGGAAGAAAGGTAAACGATAAAATTGATATTTTTTCTTTTTATTATGCATGATTATTATATTTTTTTGTAGTGAATAATTAGCAGTTACATTAAATCTACATAGTATTTTGTCCACGTATAATACACGTACTATCACGGGATGTGTCCAGTTTTACTTTACGTATAAATAAATGGTTGTTACTATTATAGGATGTGTCCGTGTATAAATGTCTTAATTACAAATTTTGTTTTGCAAATTGAATTGAATAATTTCCGCTATAAGTTGCGCATAAAAGTTTTGAATTGACAATTTCAATAAAATTAAGGACTTAGAATTGAAAATTAATCCTATAATGGAAATTGAAATTATGGGTTTCAATTTTATTTCTGGCACATAATATTTTATGATGTGAATAATTTACATATTTATTAAAATTAATAATAATAAAATGCTATGAATCTTTAATAGCAATTAAAGATATTATTTATTTGAAATTAAGCATGATAAATTTTGTTAGTCATCGGCCAAAATTTTAAGGTTATTTTGATTTCAAATTATTAATGATTTTATTTCAATTACTCATAATATGAATGCTAAAATTATGAATAATTGATTTATGGGTTAATTGAAGTTCATTATTATAAGGCATTTCAGGATCACCTAAATGTTGATTAATTGTTATTATAATTAATAAGCATAAAGGTGGATAATTTTGTGTGCGTCACTATTTTTATTTATATACCCAAAGGTGTTAGGTGATTCTAGTTGATGGATATTTTAATTATCATTAATGTTATAAAATGATTTGCATAATTATGTTTGTGTATTAGTGGATCTCCCAAAGGAGAACATTAGTATGCATACTTATATTTGAATTTGTATTTATGTTTATTTTTTATGACTCAAAGCGTTAATGTTAGGCATGTGTTAATTGAAGTAGTTGTTCTTGTAGCTCTACATTCGCTTTCTTCGTCTGTTCCAGTCTTTAATGGATTAAATTTTCCTGACTAGAGTGAACAAGTCAAATTTCACTTAGGTGTGTTAGATCTTGATTTGGCTTTCCAAGTTGAAAAATTGGCTGCTATCACTGATGCTAGTAGCAATGAAGAGAAAACTCATTATAGAGCTTGAGAAAGATCAAATAGACTTAGCCTTATGTTTATGCGAATAAGTATAGCAAGCAATATTAAGTCTGTTTTTCCTAAAACTGAGAATGCGAAGGAGTTTATGAAATTTTTGGAAGAGCGCTCTCAAACTGCTGAACACATAATCGAAACGACAAATATTATAGTATGTATGAACACGTAATCAAAATGACAAATATCACAGCAAGACTCAAGTCTCTTGTGAAATTCATTTTGAACTTGTTACCGTCTGAGTATGGTCTATTCCAGATGAACTATAATGCCATGAATGCAAATAGAATATGCATGAATTACACAATATGTTAGTCCAGGAAGAGACTAGATTCAAGAACCTAGGAAGTCATTATATTCATTACGTGAAAAATCAAGGAGCTAAAAAGAAAGTTGTTAAGAAACAGGGAAAAGGACCATCAAAGATTAATGAGTCCTCCACTAACATTCAGAAGAAAAATGACAAATGTCATTTCTGCGGGAAGTCTAGACATTTCTAGAAGGACTACTTAAAGCGTAAAGCTTGATTTGAAAAGAAAGGTGAGCATAGTGTTTACGTATGTTTTGAATCAAACTTAACTAAAGTTCCCCATAATACTTGATGGATTGATTCTGGATGTACGAATCATGCTTCTAATGTGATGCAGGGATTTCTTTCAACCCGAACCATAAACACAAATGAGAAGTTCGTCTTCATGGGGAATAAAGTCAAGATTCCAGTGGAAGCTGTCAGAACTTATTGTTTAATCCTTGACACTGGATATCACTTAAACCTTATGAATACTTTTTATGTACCTAGTATCATTAGAAATTTAGTTTCTTTGTCTAAGCTTGAAGTTGCTAGATACTTTTTTAAGTTTGAGAATGATTGTTTCAGTTTATGTAAGCGTACTTGTATGATTGGAAGTGATACACTTTATGATGGTTTATATAAATTGAATTTGGATAATTTATATGCTGAAACTCTCATGACCTTGCATCATAATATTGAAACTAAACGTAGTTTGGTGGATGAATGATTTGCTTACTTGTGGCATAAGCGTTTGGGACATATTTTCAAAGAAAGAATGCAAAGATTAGTAAAGAATGAAATCCTTTCGGATTTAGATTTTACGAATTTGAATATATGTGTGGATTATATTAAAGACAAACAAATAAAACACACAAAGCAAGGAGCCACAAGAAGCACTCAACTTCTTGAAATCATACACACTGATATATGTGGTCCATTTGACGTAAATTCTTTTAATAAAGAGAAGTATTTCATCACCTTCATTGATGATTTCTCACGTTATGGACATGTCTATTTACTACATGAGAAATCTCAAGCAGTAAATGTCTTAAAATGTTATATAAATGAAGTGGAGAGACAATTAGACAGAAATGTGAAAATTGTCAAGTCAGATAGAGGTGATGAGTATTATGGAAGATATGATGAAAGTGGATAACATCCTGGTTCATTTGCTAAGTTCCTTGAGAAGCGTGATATTTGTGCTCAATACACATTGTCAGGCACACCACAACAAAATAGTGTGTCTAAAAGGCGTAATCAAACCTTAATGGATATGGTTAGGAGCATGTTAAGTAATTCATGTTTACATATATTGTTGTGGATGTATGCTTTAAAGACTACCATGTATTTGTTGAATAAGGTTCCTAATAAAGCGGTTCAAAAGACTCCTTTTGAGTTATGGACAAGTAGGAAACTCAGTTTGAGACACCTACATTTTTTAGGTTGTTAGGCAGAAGTAAGAATTTATAATTCACAATAAAAGAAACTGGATGCAAGAACAATCAGTGGATATTTCATTGGTTATCCAGAAAAATCAAAAGGGTATAAGTTTTACTGTCCTACTCACAATACAAGAATTGTTGAAACTGAAAATGCTCGGTTCATTGAAAAATGGTGAAATTAGTGGGAGTGAAGCATCACGAAATATGGAGATTAAGGAAGTTAGAGTACAAGTTTCTATAACTAGTACATCTTGTTCAAGAGTTGTTATTCCACATGATGTAGAACCACACGACAATCAAGAAGAACAACAAATTAATGATTCTAAGATTAACAATGAGTCGATAATAGAACAACCACAAGAAATAACATTAAGAAGATCTCACAGAGAAAGAAAGTCTGTTATTTCGAATGATTACGTGATTTATCTACAAGAATCAGAAAATGACTTAAGTATTGATGATGACCCAGTTTCATTTTCAGAAGCCATTAATGGTGATAATTCTGATAAGTGGTTAAATGTTATGAAAGATGAACTTAAATTAATGACACATAATGGTGTATGGGTGTTAAGTGGTAAAAGATGATATAATTATGTTTTGAATTGTTATGTAATCACTTCAATTATATTGATTTTAATCTATTTTTCTCCCAATGTAGGATGAATTCGAGAATACCTTGATACAAGAGTAAGGAGTATAATTGTCAATATAATTGAAGCAAAAAACTGAAAGGAGGAAGAAGATTTTTAACATGGAAGTCGCTCGAGCGAGATAGACTCTCGCTTGAGCGAAAATTAGTTAAAACTCTTTGGAGTTCATTCGCTCAAGCGTCACTATTTTCTCTTGAGCGAAAATTAGTTAAACTTCTCTGGAACTCACTCGCTCATGCGAGCACTTTTTCGCTCAAGCGACAATACTGAACTTTCTCTTGAGCGAACGTTTTTGCTTGAGCGAAAGATGTGAGACCCAAATTCTCCTATAAAAAGATAAGATGTGTTTTGAGAAAAGAGGAGAGTTTAAGGGAGAAGAAGCACAACTACTGCTAGGGTTTCGTCTAATCTTCATTAATTCTTCACTTCTTCCTCATTTGGAGCATTGTAATGGCCACCATGAGTGGCTAACTTCATTCTCTTGGGA